CACACTGAGCCTACTTAAATGAGACATCGACTTACCGTGCTGCTTTGGCAGGAACTCATGGAGACGGACATGCATCGCGTTATCCGGACACAGGATCTATCAGACGATCACTGCCAGTATTTCATTTACCAGACCCTGCGAGCTCTGAAAGCTATGCACTCGGCGAACGTCCTCCATCGCGACCTGAAACCCTCCAACCTTCTCCTCAATGCAAACTGTGACTTGAAAGTCTGTGATTTCGGTCTTGCGCGCTCGGCTGCGTCCCAAGAGGATAACTCGGGCTTTATGACTGAATACGTGGCCACGCGGTGGTATCGTGCGCCAGAGATCATGTTGACCTTCAAGGAATACACAAAGGCCATCGATGTGTGGTCTGTCGGCTGCATCCTGGCCGAGATGCTGAGCGGAAAGCCACTCTTCCCTGGAAAGGATTGTAAGTAACGCCTCGCGGGTTACCCGCCATTCCGCAGGTGGACTGGACTAACTTGGCCTCCTTAGACCATCACCAGTTGACGCTTATTCTTGACGTATTGGGAACACCAACGATGGAGGATTACTACGGCATCAAGTCGCGGCGCGCGCGTGAATACATCCGGTCTCTGCCCTTCAAGAAGAAGGTCCCATTCCGGACCCTCTTCCCCAAGACGTCCGACCTCGCCCTCGACCTGCTAGAGAAGCTACTCGCCTTCAATCCTGTGAAGCGCATCACGGTAGAAGAGGCCCTGAAGCACCCTTACCTGGAGCCGTACCACGACCCGGACGATGAGCCGACGGCACCGCCCATCCCCGAGGAGTTCTTCGACTTTGATAAGCACAAGGACAGCCTAAGCAAGGAACAGTTGAAACAGTTAATCTACCAGGAGATTATGCGATGAAGTGGGGCAGGGAAAGCACGTGGTCTCAGAATTGCCAGCGAAAACGATCGAGCGCAGGACGATGTCGGCATAGTTTGCGGGATCAGTGTTTGACTGAACGAGGGGACGGACGGCCATATAGATCTTGAACGGGTTGGGGCGTGGATGGCGAAGACTGCGAAAAAATAACCAGTCGAACATGACATAGATAGTATTTAGTGATGCGAATTACCTTGCCTATTTACCTCGTTGCGTGGTTTGGGGAGGATATGTGAATTGGCGTGTTCATCATCGGTGGTTCATCTCCTTTCCTTGATGTAATACGGCATTTCTCTGGGTGCGTTTCTGCTTTCTCAAAAAACCCTCCATGGCTTGTCGGCGGTCTCTGTATTTAGCCCTCTGAAGCACAGCGTATATTCTTTCTTCCTTTTACAGTCCAGCCAAGAAACGATAAATGGGGCGAAGAAAGCGACGAGACGAATCGAAGATGCAAAGAGCATTGGGCTGTAGAGTCCAGGGTATCATTATCATTAGCTATCTAATCGCGTCCACATCATAATATCTGCTGAGAAAAGAGAGGTTTCCCTCTTTACTATAGTAGATAATTTTATATCCCTGATTCAGAAGGGTTGAATATAAATTGGGCGTTTCGGAGAGGGGTTTCCTTTCATCTGGGGGGGTGGTAGAGTTGAAGACGACGACAATAAATCAAATCGCCCCGAGAACCCAAAGCTCAACACCAAGGATCCCGAACTTTTCTCCCTCGTCACTCAGCGGCTCGTTTCCGAACGTCTGACTGCGGCCGCTGCGGCCGCGGTATAGGGAGTCGTCAAGCCACAGGCCATAGTGCCCGTCTCCAGCACCCATGCTCAGGAAGCCGGTTTCGCAGTTGATGTAGTATTCGTTTACGCCGGAGTAAGGGAAGGCTTTGAAGCGGAGGGATTCGGAGACGGCCGAGGAGACCGCGCGCTTCGGGCCCTCTGCCGGCGAGACCAGCATCCCGGCATACTGCGAGGCTGCTTCTGTCGGGGCCCCGGACGGAGCGTCGGTCAGGAGGTCGGGAGGCGCAGAAGTTTGTGAGGATTCGGTATTCGCGACGGTAGAGGGGGTAGGATTCGATATCGTGGTCGAGCGCGAGATGTTGATGTTTGTTGTATCGGCCGAAGGAGGGGGCGGGAGGCCGGCCAGAGTGGACACACGCCAAAGGAAACATTCGCCGTTACCGAAGTAGCCGGGGGTGGGACGAGGATACTCGGAGAGATAGCCACCGAAAGTCTGCAGTCGTGGGAACGTCAGAAAGACTGTGGCAGAGTAGTCGATAAAGGCACAAGAATAAAACT